GGCTAAACTTATGGAAAGAATGGTTAACAGGAGGCTAACATTCTTATATTCTTAGGAGTGAACAACCAGGTTTTAGGCCATAAAGATCAACGAACCAGCAAGTAGCCACTTTCTCCCAACACACCAAAGATACCCATGATGCAAAAAATACACTTACGACTGTTTTCGTCGATTTCAAATCAGCATATGACTTAGAGTGGAAAGAGAAGCTAATTCTAAATTGGCAAAGATTGGTATTAAGCATAACATGCTAAACTGGATAAAAGCATTCATTGGACAAAGATCGTGTAAAGTCAGATACGGAAACGCTCTATCAAAATCCAATCTTTTACAAACAGGCCTTCCACAGGGAGCTGTCACAAGCTGCACTCTTTTCAATGTCTTCATCAATGACATAGCCGAATTGGTACAGACAGTCACGGGCATCAAGTGCTTACTTTGTGCAGATGATCTTGTTCTATGGTATTCCACCCTTAAGAAAAACGCTCAGGAGAGGACAGAAAGTGCCCTAAATTGTGCACTTAAACTACTAGCAAACTGGTGTGACAACAATGGAATGGTAATTAACACCGCAAAAACTGCATTCCAAACATTTTCTTTGGCCCGTCACAGCATAAACCCGCTTCTAAAGTACAAGGATATTACCCTAGAAAAAAATGAGTTCACTTATCTCGGAATGACTTTTGACACTAAGCTAACGTGAAAAAGTCACAATAATAAAGTAGCAGAACGAGTCTCCAATAGACTGAATGTCCTGAAGCGTCTTGCTGGTAGCGTATGGGGCTGTGCACGCTCAACTCTCAACACCACTTACAGGATGTTTATTCATCCAATAATGTTGTATTGCTGTGAGCCACTCATTACAGCCACAGAGGTGACTCTCAAACCACTCGAGAAGGCGCACAACCAAGCATTACGACTAATTACTGGAGGGGTAAAATCAACACCCATTGACGCAAGGCTCCTGGTTACAGGAAGCACCACAATATGTTCCCTTATCAAAGAAAAGGCCTTGATCCTGTATGAGAAGCTACTGCGCATTCCCATGGATAAGTTCTTCAGCACCTATGAGAATAGACCAAGACATCTGAAAGCGTAATCTGGTCTAATACAGAAAGCCATAGAACTGAAGAAACTATTACAAATCGATGACAAACCAAAAAGCCTCCCTCTACCCATGAACCCATTAGAAGACACTGATGTAGTGTGTTGCACCCAACTGCTTGCCTACTTCAGAAAATCAAACACCAATCCAGAACAAATGCGCTCACTGGGCCTTGAGACAATCAATGTCAACTATCCTGCAGATCAATGGATTGAGACAATCAATGTCAACTATTCTGCAGATCAATGGCTAGTCTGCACTGTTGAGGCTTTAGAAAACCAAGAAAACGTTGGTGCAAGTGTCTACTCTGAACTCTTCTCTTTCTTCGCCGTAGCGAGACACAATAGATCCGCTTTCGAAGGAGAAATAGAGGCCATTAGGATAGCACTATGCCAATTAAGTTGCCTCGACACGAAATTCACCAAAGCGGTGGTACTTTCGGACTCACAGTCAGCAATAAACTCAATTGGAAGCAGAGAGCCACCCAAAACAGCTGAGATAAAGGAATGTAGAAAACTCTATCAGATGCTGAGAGAAAAAAACAAAACAGTGGTCCTACAATGGATTCCTAGTCACTGTGGCATTAATGGCAATGAGCTTGCTGACGCACTTGTTAAGAAGTGGACAATAATTTTGCAATGCATGGACCGGCCGATGTCTTTCCACACATACCTTAGAGAGAATTCCAGACCTCAAGGTTCAACGAACTCAAAGCTGGAGAATTCAAGACCTCAAGGTGTAACGAACTTAAAACTCGAACAAAGGGAAACAGTGAACAGTGACAATCTCCAACATAGTCGACTGGCCAAGGATCAAAGCCGTTGCTGAGTTTAGACTACGTACCGGACACGATTGCCTGACAAAACACCTTATACACTCAACCCACTTGTCCTCTATGTAACCTACAGGAGGAAATGGATAAGACCCACCTGATTCGGTGTCCAGCCCTAAAGACAACGACGGAAACCCAGAGATACTGGGAAGCAAGAAGATAGCTAGTGAACTGCTATTAATTAACTGCTATATATGTACCCCCATGGAGAAAGCTAAAGTTAACTTAGGGGCTAATGATAAATATCTGAAAGCCTGCCATTTTGAAAAAAAATATTTGTTGAAGAAAAATATCAAAATGCCTGCATAGAGTGCTCAAGCGATCTAATTTATTAAACAGTCCTCCGCCTAGACATGTTTAGAACGAAATTAGTCAGTTTATACATCCAATACCTTCATTATGAAATTAAATGTTCGAGCGAAGCATCCAAATTGTTGTTTACTTTCGCTAACACGAGAATAAGCCAACAAGGCTGTTAACTTTATTTCATCAATTTTATGGAAATACATTAAATGCAGACCTATAGGTTGCGAGGCAAACCAAAACTAAGCTAAATAATCGACTAAGCCGTCCAATAAGAGGGCTCCATTATTCACAGCAACCAATCGCCTCTTCCATTAATAAGATGCACGCAAACGATATATATATATATATATATATATATATATATATATATATATATGCCCTCTATGTAATCTACAGGAGGAAATGGAAAAAACCCACCTGATTCGGTGTCCAGCCCTAAAGTCAAGGACGGAAAGCCAAAAATACTGGGAAGCAAGAAGACAGCTAATGAATTGCTATTGATTAACTGCTATAAATGTAACCACCCCCTC